TAGGTGGGATATCCTGGTCCCTGTTCAGGAAAACAGAGGCAAAGAAACTGTTAAAAATATTAGCTTTCTTGTCTGGCGTGGCCACCAGATTACCGTTTGTGTCTTGCAGGGGCCCTACATTGCCTGGTGCCCTCTTCTTGCTCCCAATGTACTTGAAAAAGGACTTTTTGTTGTCCTTAATCCTGGACGCTAGCCTGAGCTCCCTCTCTAGCTTGGCCTTCCTAATAGCCCTCCTACACTCCCCGGCTGAGGAGGAGTACTCCTCCTTGGTGATAGTTCCTCCCTTCCACTGGTTGTACGCCCCCCTTTTAGTCCTCAGGCATTGCTGAATGCCCTTGCTGAGCCAAGGGGGCGTCTGAGCACTCTTACCCCCCTTGCTTCTCTCAGGGACTGTTATCCTTTGGGCCTGGAGGATCACCCCCTTAAGGTACGACCATCCCTCGTGGACTCCCATCTCCTCTACCTTCTGGGCCCTTAGTGCCTCCCCCACTAGTCTCCTAGGCTCATTGAAGTTGGCCCTTCTGAAGTCAAGGGGCTTAGCCTTGGTGTGAGCCCTAGACGCCCTGCGTTGGATAATGAAATCCAGCAGGTGATGATCGCTATTGCCCAGGTGGCCAAGGACCTGCAGTCCCCTCACCAGGTCATCCCCCATGGTCAGGACCAGGTCCAGCAAGGCGTCCCTTGCAGCCTCCCTGTTTCTCTCAGCTGATGGTAACTCAGAAGCTGAGCTGAGACAAGGTACAACCTTCCCATCCTGATCAAATGATTCTCCTCCCTGTGAACCCCCCACAAATAAATCTGTAACGGTGCTGCTTCTGACATTTTTGCCTATGATGCACCCATCAAAAGATTACATATAAGTAAATAACACTCCAGGTAATTTTCCATTTCATTCTAATTTCCATGGCCTACTGATTAAATCACATTATTGATATCCAGTTCTGCCACTGACTAGCCAGGTAACCTTAGGCAAATCACTTCACCCCCTCTTGCCCTGGGAACTGAGAGACTGAATAGGTAAAAAAACCCAAAAAACCCAACAACCTTCTGAAGTTGTATATAGCAGTAACACTATTTTAGAGGTGCACAGGCTCACTTACAAACGGCATTGAGAAATAATGTATGATGAAGATATAAAACTGGCTTTACAGAATTTCTATATGGTGCAGAAGCTGCGGATGAACAAAGGAGATCAGATCTCTTTCAGCACACTAAACACTTGATTGCATATGGCCCACTTTCCTGGTAATTCAACAACAGAATCCCCAGGAAACGGTCTCATCTGGTTCATATTCTAGTTTGAGTTTTGGCACCTCCCAAGCACATCTTTTTGAAATACCATATGTGCATCCCATAACAAAGTTAACGTTCCAAATGAAACCGTCACTTTGATTTTCTTGATCTTTGGGGGTTTACATACCCAACTCAGGATAACAAGAGCGCATTCTTCAAAGCGTTCCACATTGAATTCTCTCGTTTTTTTTGAGAGAGAGAAAGAAAAGAAACTGTGCATTTATTGAATACAGGATTTAATCCTGTGCTATATGCCTTTAACCATTTAATTCAAGTCTTGCAAGTCAGGTGAATTTTTAGTCCTCGAGGTAGTTTTATTCCATTCTCCCTACACGCTTCTTAAGACCGAAAATTCAACAAACTCACTATGCGTTACTTGTATAAAAGGCTATGTGTATATTGGGGAAAAAATGTCTTGGTGGCGTTGCAAATTCTTCCACTAGTTTACTGTGTGGCCAGGAGAGTTTCTTAAAAATCTCAGGGCCCGATGTTCAGAGTTGCTGAGTGCTCACAGCAGTCAATGGCTTCAACTGGCTTTACAGGTGCTCATCATCTCTGAAATGTATTCCCTGTGCCTCAGTTTCCCCATCTGGGGAACAGAATAAGATCTACATCCAAGGGGCTACTGAAGCTTAATGAATTTGCCAAGTGTTGTGAGACCCTAATAGGGGCAGTACTACAGAAATGGAAACTACCCCCCACTCAAGACATCCAAGTCACCGAAAGGAAAGTAATAGATTCTGATTGTATTAAGTGACTTAATATTATGGGACTTTCCCAAGAGGGTGGATAAGTGATATATTAACAGCTGAATATTCACTGAGAAAGCTGCCAACTCTAATCTTGGCCTGCATAGGTCAAGAGCAGAAATCATGCCAAGAAAGGCTGGTTATGGTTTCTCTTTTGTTGGGTGGCTACTGGGAGAGTCATGAGGCTTACCTACAGTACCCGGGTTGCAGGCTATACAGCTCCTACTCCAGGAGCAGGAGGAGGGAGCGGGAATCTTTTCCTGCAGTGCTGCAGAGGCTAGCAACGAGGGCGCGGAGTTGTGGTTGTTAAATACAGCTTAACACGATTAAACTGTGTAAGACATTTTATAACTTTTAACCAGGGTCTGAATTACACTTTGACTCCTGCAGGGGGGGGTCACACGAAATTAAAACCAGTTCATTGATTAACAAGTCCACCTAAGTGACACCCCCCCTCCCCTCCCCTCCCCTCCCCCAAGGTTATGATTTTTAAAACATGCAGAGGGGCTCCTGTTTCTTATGGAGAGGCTCAGCCCCCCCGAGCTCCCCCATAATTCGGATGCTGCCTTTAACTGTACAATACAGGAAATTTCGATGTTTGATGACTTTTAAACTTTTTATTGATTCTACGCTTTGCCTGCCCCGAGCAGCCAGCAGACGGTAACGAAGCATTAGCCCTAGCCATCGTTTACTGCGTTCTCCGAGAAGCCCGACAACATACCCTTGTTGCTTCCTAAAACAAAAGAGCAATATTTCGTCCTCCCAAAACTCCAGGAAGCTGCACTCGAAGGGTGAAGTGCATGGAGGACTTTTGCAAACAGTGCCACCACATGGACTTCTCCGCTTCCTTATATATATTTTATTTTTCTTTTTAAACCCCCAGCCCTGGAGCTTCCCCAAACAGGACAAAGTTCCACGTTTGATTTCTAGGCCACCCCGACAGCCAGGGAGAGGCACGTGGTGTTTTTTGTGATGCAGCTCAGCCGTATCCAATTACTTACCCAGCCTGGTCATACACGGCGTATAAAATACAGGGCTGTTGGAGGAGCTGGCGCAGTAGCAGGGCACGCACATACTTGGCACACGAGGGTCGCAGGAGCCGGTGCTACTGGGGAAAAGGAAGGGAAGCGGAGGCCCTAGCATGACGGCAGGCTGGGATGCACTGGGGATGGAAAGGAAGCACAAAAGTGGGGAGAGAAGCCACGGCAGCTAGGGCAGGACCTGGAAAGCGTGAGGGCAGCTGTGAGGCTGGCTCCCAAGCAAACAGGCCCTGCAGGCAAGTGGGGGAAGGAATGAAGGAGCAGAGGCAAGGCTATGAGGTGTGGATGAGCCTCGCTGCAGGAGGGCAGGGGCAGATGGGGCAAGCCCAGGGGGACAACAGCTGGAGCTGGGGCAGGCCCAGGAAGGGCAGGGCTGAAACCCTGAGCCCAACATGCACCAGGGCCAGGCCCTCCTGGGAGCAAACTACACCTCCCAGCAGCCCCCGCGGCGCGCCCAGCCCCCGCCCCCG